GTATTCTGCAGATATCTAAATGTATTATTATAAACCGTGAAAACCAAGAAATAGCATACATTGTCATTTTCAACACCACTTATCCTGAACAGGGTGATGATGGCTTGCTGGAACCCATCCCAGTAATCTTCAGGTGAAAGGCTGACTACACCCTGAACTGGTCGCTAGCCAGTCCCAGGGCATATAGAGAGACGAACAACTACACACACCCACATCCACACTGACACTGAGACACACACTGAGACATCAATACACACGCACTGACACAAGTCAGACGAGTGTTGCACTACATCATTACCAATGAACAAGTAACATTACTGATATAAATATTTTGTATGATATTACTTTTAAACTTATAGGCCTCTCTTCCTCGCTGACGTACGCCGTAGCGGAACTTAATTTATTTTCACTTTCCGGTTCCATTTCTCTCCTGAGACACATGTTAATTTGCCTATTTGCTAGTCAAAGTTGGATGTTGTCCACTTTAAAGGGGTTCTAACCAGTCCTCTGTGAAAAGCGTACCGGTACTTGTTAAACGGTTGTGTGTTAATCTTAGGTAAGCTTAGTAATGAACATGGCTTCTCTGTCTTTCAACACCATTATCTGTGAGAACAACACTATAATCCAGCTCACAAATAATGCAGGTTATTCACCACAACGGAGGCAATGATTACTGATTTAGGATTGATTCGCAATCGTGTTTAGCCCAACTAGTTCTTTGCTAACTAGCTGTCTGGGCCAAAGTAGCACTAAGCTTGCTTCAACCTCTGAGTGCCCACGGTTGGTGACGTGAGCGACATGTGTGCTTCCAGCCTAGCAAAGCGATTTGGGACCATCTCAGCCATTCTTCGTTTTGGTGAGGCACAAAATGAAAACTTTGAGACTCGAACACACACACACACACACACACACACACACACACACACACACGCACACACACACACACACACACACACACACACACACACACACACACACACTTGTTATATTAAATATAATTGTGACCCTCAGAATTAAATTTTTTTACTATTAATTCTGACTTGTGTGCGGGCAGTGTGGGATCGGTTCCCACTCAATAACAGTGTGAACATGGGTGTGAAAAGTTCTTTATTTGTGTCCTGCGACTGACTGGCGACAACTTCAGGGCGCAGTCCGCCTTTTGCCCAAAGTAAGTTGGGATAGGCTCCTGCAACCCCCGTGACAGGATGTGCGGTGTTGGAAATGGTTGCATTACTATTAACTCTGCTTCTCTTCCTTTCACACAAAGTTAAGAATGTTACCATGTTACTCAAACATATACCGTAAATTCCGGATTACAAGGCGCTACTTTTTTTCCACACTTCCAACACTGCGGCGTGTAATCTGAAGCGGCTTTTTAATTTTTTTTTTTTCCATCGCGGGAAAAACATGGACCAATAAAATGAATGAGTCTTTCACTGAGGTCCAATGAGATTGTATGACTAATCACAACTTCCGCTCTTTTTGCCGTAGCGGGGGGGAAATGTGTTACCCGGCAACAGTCGACCAATAAAATGAATGAGTAGTACACAGGGGTCCAATGAAATTGTATGATTACCAGTAATCACAACTTACTTATTTCAGTCTTTCTTCTAACCCTGATCAACATGGAGAATACCAGACGAAAAGCATATGATGCAGCTTTTAAACTAAAAGCGATCACTCTGGCAGTGAAAGAAGGAAATCGAGCTGCTGCCCGTAAGGCGTAGAAAAAAAAGTAGTGTGTTTCCGGTAACCCCACCGACCGAGAATTTCTACGTGGAAAAAAAACTTTACGGTTGGCATTTTGTTCAAACAACCCTCTACATTTTTGTGTACAGGGTTTACATCGGTGCAAACTCTCGCTATATTCACATTGAGCGCGTGCGTCGTTTGCCCTGTCGTCTGTCAACAACATTGAAACATGGCGGCGGCCGCGATCTCCGACGACAGTTTAAAC